CTTTTAATTCTGATCCAGCCCAGTAAACGGGCCCATTTTGATAAGTCCAGCAACAAAATAAAATTACAACCACACAGGCCCATCCCAACTTTGGGTAAAAAGTTAAACCCATTTCACAATCAAGCCCCGCCCCGCCCTAACCTGGGTCGGGCGGCGCGCGCGTGTGGTGGTTGGTTCGGATCCAGGCTAGCCTAGGTCCTCCCCCTCTTAAAAACTTGGGTGCCCTTGGGCCCAAACCCAAATCCCATACTAGACATATATATACTCAAGGTTGCTTTGCTACTTTTTCGATGTGGGACAAGCATTTCCCACTTTATTCACACCCATTTAGGCTTTATAAATCACTTACTTTGGAGCCAATTTCTCATTCACCCGGAAACGGATTTGAGAAAATAAATATACCACGTTCATCTCCTCGCAGAGAGGAACGCGCTCATCAATAGATTCGCAAAAAAATTCTTAGCGGAATCTTTTTAAAAATCCTTCCAAAGTTTGCGTTTTCTAATGCCGTTTCCAACATATAAGAGGCCTTCGGGTGGAGAAGGAGAGTTTGATTTAGTTGCCACTCACCAGTCTATGTCAAGTTACTACGTCGATGCCCGTTGCTTAATCAACAGTATTGCAATGTAAGTGCTATTTTTGGATTCAATTTCTTTATTCCAGTTTTTTTTTCCTCTTCTCTTGTGACGTTTGACCCGAATACCAATTGCATGAATAAATTAATTTCCGATTTTATGTGATTGCGCAAAGTTATAGCCAGCTCCGCTATTTATCATTCCATTTAATAAGCTTTATATTCAATTTATATTCATTCCCTTTTAAATTTAATATTGGTCCAACCAAATTATATTATCATTCCATTCCTACACATTTCATATTTACAACCAAAAAATAGAACAAGAATGTCTATTCCATTCTCATTCTTATTACGTTCCCACTTGAATTCCATTCCATTCTTATACACTAAACACAACATTAGCTCATTGAGTAAGCTTTCAGTGGATCAAAGAGAAGTGTCATAAGACCCCCCAGAAGCACTGATCATATATATATATATATATATCTTGTATATTAATCTGTCTTAGTATATACTTTTGTACACTTTCATTATAGTCACTGTTTGTCGATTCTCTGTTATATCTATTCATATGTTCATGTAAAATATAAACTTGCACCAGATTTCCATATATATATATATATATATGACTATGTATGATGATTTTCTTTTTTTCTAACATTTTCCGAGTAGCTTTTGTGGATGATGCCCTTTTCTAGGTTTTAGTAGATCTAAACCGAGAATCAATACATCCCTAACTAAACTCATGCAATAGTTACATAGTCGTAGATATACACACACACACTACAGAGTTTCCTCGATGTATAGGGCAGCCCCAACCTGGTAGAGGGTATCACTTGAAAAACTACACACAAAGTGGTCAAGAGTCCCTTATACTACCAGGGCCCACCATTCACCTATACACGTTACTCATCTTCGACAATATATGCCTCAGTCCCAAGTCCCAAGGCCACGAATCAACTCGTATCAGGACACACACACACATACACACACATATATATATATTACATCGTCAATACAAAGCCATATCTAACAATAGCACAAGTAATGTGTCTTGACTTATTAGCCAGCCCATCTACATAACAAATATACAAAAGTCATATCTAACAATGGCATAAATTGCTAAAGAACCTAACTTATTAGCTATCTCAATGATCTCATCGCATGCTACCATTGATCTCATCCACAGTGTAAACATAAGAGATAACACAGTTATAGATCATATTTATAGATTAAAAGAACAGTAATATACAGGATTGAAATCATAAAATAGATTTATACATCTTAAATCGCAATTTAGATCTCATAAAGGAATTTATAAAAAATCTATAAATTAATTACCATCCAATTATCAATTCCCAGAGCATGCTAAGTTTTTATGATCATTCTAATACATATACAGATTCATTGGTCCAATTAATCTTCCATCAAAATAATTAAAACAAACCAAATTGTCCAAACACAGTTATGCAGAAACAAGTAAAATTGATCGACGGATACACTCTATCGATTAACCAAATTGGCCAAACCAGTCAACGGCAAGACCAATCCGTCAACCGAAATAGGTAAACTGGTTGACCAAAACCTGCTTCTTTCGCTTCTGCGACAACAAGTTTCAGCCCTACAACTCCTTCATTTTGGAACCTAATCATGCATATTATGTTCCAAATGAGTTCCACAATTTATACAACATATAATTTCATGCTTTAGCAATTAAAAATAGAGGTTAAAACATCCAAATCGATCAAAGAATTAAACAAGTCCATACATACATATATATATATAAGCATGCATACACAGGCAGTACCAAATTATTTTAAAGCAAATAGAGTCTATTTAATCCTCTAATTTAAACCCTAAAGTCTAGCATGCAATGGAGAGACTACATATTCAAAAGGGAAGAGCTATATAAGAAACTTGCCTTATGATTTTCGGATTGAAAATCAACTACATAAGCTTTTCGGTCTTCTTCTCTAACTCCGGCAACAACTATTACTTGCGTTCCTTTTTTTAGTCACCTTCTTATCCCTTGTTCTCTCTCTCTTTAGTTGTCCCTCTCTCTTTCTCATGTATCCCTCTAGATATCATATTAACTATATATATATATACATATGCATACCCCTTAGGCCTAAAACATTCATCACACACCTACGCCTTGCCAAACTAACCCAAACCCATACCTTTGTGTTCTACTGACTCTAAGCCCAATCATTTAGTAATTAAAATAGAACAAATAATTAAATAAAAAAAACTAAACACAATTAAGTAATTAAACCCGCCCACACAAACAATTACATCCTTTAAATTTAACAAACAATTAAATAATCCAACTAATCAAATAAATGAACAAAAATCATAGGGAATTAAATCAAATAATGTAACCAAGACAATTAATGCAATTAAATTAAATTAAACAAGCCTTTAAAATATAGCGGTATTAAATTAATCTCCCCCCCCCCCCCCCGGCCCAACAATAAAGGAATTTCATCCTCGGAATTCACAACATACCTTACTTAAACAATTTTGGAAACTTTGAACGAATTTCATTCTCCCGTTCCCAAGTGGACTCACCCTCATTATGATGGCTCCACTGAACACCCACAAGAGGAATAACCTTGGTGCGAAGCTTCTGATTCCTACGATTAAGAATACAACATGGTGGCTCTACATATATCATATCCAGCTGAAATTTAATAGCGCCTACATCTATATGCTGATAGCGATCTTCATCTCGCAGAAATTTCCATAACATGGATACATAAAAAATATTATGGACACGGTGTAAATGGTCTGGAAGCGCCAACCTATGAGCTACAGCTCCCACACACAATCCGTAATCATAAAAGGATTTACAAAATGCAGTAACAACTTCCATTTCTTCCTAAAACGCATTACCCCCTTCATGGGAGATACTTTAAGCAAAACTTGATCTCAACCTGAAACTTTAAAGCACGAGTACAACAGTCTACATAACTCTTCTTCGTACTCTTGGTAGTGCGCATACGATCTCAAATAAGAGCAATCTTTTCAAAGGTATCAGTAATGAACTCAGGATTCAAAAATCTGCTCTCACCGACCTCTATTCAACAAGCAGGAGATTTACACGGTCTATTATACAAAGCCTCAAAATGTGTTATTTATAATAATCTTCTGATAATTATTGTTATAAGCAAACTCTATAAGTGGCAAATAATCCTCCCAATTGCCCTTAAAGTCAAAGACACAGGTACGAAACATCTGATTAACTCTCTCAGTCTGTCCATCGATCTGAGGATGATAAATAGTGCTAAAATGCAACTCTATACCCAAAGCCTACTAAAAGCTCTCCTAGATACAAAGCTTGAATCTCTATCCGATATGACGGACAATGGTATGCCATATAACTTCACAATCTCTGCAATATAAAGCTTCGCCAATTGTTCTGAAGTGAAATCAGTGCAAATAGGAAAGATATAAGCAAACTTAGTCAATCTATCAACAATGACCCAAATGGAATTGTGATTCCTATGTGAATTAGGCAATCCCTCAACAAAGTCAATAAAACAACTCTTTTATTTCCTTTTTAGTATAGGAAGTGGCTGCAAAGAATCTGGCGGTGTCTGATGGTCTATCTTAGCCATCTGGCAAGTACTCCACTTAAAGACAAAGATAGCTATGACCCTCTTCATGCCTGCCCACCAAAATTGTCACTTCATATCTTGATACATCTTATCTCCACCTAGATGAATGGAAAACTGAGAATTATGAACCTTAATCATTACATCCTTTCTCAAGTCATCAACATAAGGTACTACTAACGTCCCTTATACCTTAACCCTCCATCGGTGCCCACTGTGTAAAATAGAACATCGCAAAAGTTAACTTTATAACTTTCACTACAAGAAATTAGGGTTTTAGGGACAGTCAAAACTGTCCCTAAAAGCCTGGAATCTGTCCCTAAAAGTCAAATTGGTCCATCATTAAAAGTAGAGTGCCAAAAGAGCTTTAGGGACGGTCAAAGTTGACCGTGACAAATGTTTTTGACCATTAGGGACAGTCTATGCTGTCCCAAATAACACCGTCCCTAAAACGTTTTAGGGACGGTCTAGACTGTCACTAATGAGGTACGAATTAGGGACAGTTTTGAGGACTGTCCCTAATACATTATTTTTTAATTATAATTATTGTATTAGGGACGGACAGACCGCCTCTAATACATTATTTTTAAATTATAACTATTGTATTAGGGACGGATGGATTGTCCTTAATACATGATATTTTTAATTATAATTATTGTATTAGGGACGGGTAAACTGTCCCTAATACATTAATATATATATATATATTTTTTGTATGCTTGATTTGTGAGTTTAACCATTCTGGATACATACAAAACATAAACAAAATAGATCCACAATAACATTCAAAAAGATATTACTAGCCATAAAACAAAATAAATCCATGATATATATATTCAAGATCCATAAAATCTCCAATTTTCTAAACAAAAACTAAAACCATGTGGTAGCACAAAAAAATGTTCCATCCACTTCAAGATCCATTATTCATTATGTTGGTGGTTATGGTGGTGCTTGTTGGTGCCACCATGTTAGTGGCGGCTGCTGATATTGCCACCTTGTTGTTGGTGGCGGCTGCTGAAACTGAGAGTCTGCTAGAGGTGGCGGTGGCTGTTGATGCCAGTTTGGTGCGGTTTACTGTTGTTGGGAATCTGATGGAGACTATTGTTGGTGGAACTACGGTGGCAACTGCTGCTGCTACTGAAATTGAAGGAACCATGGTGGCCGCTGCTGCTGATATTGGAGGAATCATAGTGGCGGCTGTTGTTGGTACTGCTCGAGCATCTTCTCAAGTTTATCTATCTTTTCTGTCATTTGTACATTTCTTTCTTCAGCAATTTCGTCCCTTTTCCTAGAAGCCTCATCACATGATGAGGAGGCACATTGACGCATTGGAGCCACGAAATCATGTCCGAATCCACGGCAATATCCCTTCCTTATGCCTAGTTGGTTTTACACTATCTCAACATCATTTATGGTTGGACTCGTACCATCAAAATTTTGAGAATTTTGTGCAGCCTTTTCTTTCATTGCATCCTGCAAAATATTTAAGTTCGCTATCAAATTAAAAGAATATGACATAGGAATAAATCATGTGCAAGATAGAATACTAATCTCAGTAGAGAGGAAAAAAAATGCTTGTTGAAATGCTTATTTTCAAAATGGAAGGATGAGTTTGGACACACTGTAATGACAAATGACAACTGATATTAATCGTAAGCACTTGTTAACTAAAAGCAATCTACTTTAAGGAAATATTTTGAATACTTTACACATATTCAAGATCTGATATTAGAAACTAGAAACAAAAATGTCATTTTCTCAACATTTCATCATTCTCCCCTCTCAATGAAATTCATAATATAAACCAGACCTTTAAATTTATAAAATATCTCACTTACATAACAAAAAGGGCAGCGCAGCTTCTTCTACAAATAGGTCTTCCTTTACAGATAGGTGGGTTTACAAACTCACCCTTTCTGCATTATAAATTTTAAATGATGTAAATATACAACAAATCCTCATATATAGTAATAACATGAACCAAACAAATGAACATATAATAAAGCTATTAGATGCTAATAAGCGATATCAACAGGTATTATTTAAAGAAACTTCCAAAACCATAATTTGGTAAATAAAAAATTTTGTACAAACAAAATATAAACTTTCTGTAAAACATCAAATCAAGATAAAAAAAAATCACAAACTCACACACTCAAATATAACATAGATTAAAAAATATGAGAAAATGTGGTAAATAACACTCTATAATTAAAGTAAACAAACATGTAGTGCTATTATATATTGATACAAATTGTACATATCAACGTCTCATGTTTTACTTTATACTGCAAAATACATGTGTTGTTAAGTTGAAATTGACTATTGGAAAGAAATCAATCTCTGTATCTAGATATTAGTTCGAGGTCACCTAAACAACTTTTACACAACAAAAAAAATACATAACATTCTGTTTTGTTTATGAAAAATAGTGAATAAATTATTTTCCCTGCGTTTTCTTTGCAGCCAAACAGCGCACAATAGTATTTCTCATCATAATATACAGAGTCAAAAGCCAATTTCATCTACCAAACAGCATATTGCAATTATCTAAACATAACCAAAAAATATATCCGAGAGAAAACACCAAAATGAATAACTATAAGATCTAAGAAAGAAGAACAACTATCAGATCCACAATTCTGCATCTACAATGTTCTTCCATCTCTCTCTGAAAAAGTTCCAACCTTAGGGAAGCCAGAAACAAGGAGGGGGAGGGAGCAGAGAGCGCTAGAGAGAGAGTACTTGTGAGTGTTCTTTCTGTTTATTTTTCGAACATTTCTTTAGCTTCTTGAATCAGAAATTTCGGTCCTAGATTCAATAAATTCGGTTATTCAGTCAACAATTCTTGCATCTTCTCTCCTTCAAGAAACAAGGAGAGAGACAAAGTTGTGATAGTCTTCTTGCTGTTTATTTTTTGATAATTTCTTTAGCTTTTCCCATCATCAATTTCTTTCTTAAATTCATCTAAAGTCAATTATTTAGTCCATAATTCTGGTTACGTGATTTTCTGCTAGTAATGAGAGATATTATTACAATTTCCTTATAACAAAGTTATGGGTTTAGGTTTGTATGATTTGTCATCAAAGTTGCATAATAGCCACCAAACTGTGAGCACAAGTGTGTAAATTGTGTACCTTTTTGTTGGTTATTGAATTTTCAAATAATTTGGTACTACCGAACTAGGATCAATACATTGAATGTATTTGACTGCCAAGTGATTGTTTAGGTATCAATCATGTTTCCTAGGAACATACAGGTGCCTACTAAAAATATTTTTAAGTATATTCTTTCATCTTTCTTCAATGATTGATTAATTTTGCCTTAGTTTACACATGTCTATGATGGATGTATAGGTCTCTAGTCACATCTATACCTTGTCATCAAATATTCATATGACCAAGAAAAATCTGTCAAACCTAAACACCAGTAATATAAAATATGAGCAGAATGTACCAATTACCCTCTTTGTCACATGGCCCCAACATTTCAACAAATTATTCCCACTATATTTTTTATTTTATTTTTTAAACATAAAACGCAATGAATGAAAACCACACTTTATTCGCAACAATTTCCAATCTCCATTTGTGCACAAAAAATCAAGAATAGTCACTTAAAGGCACGTGACCCCCTATAAACTACAAAAATAGTCACTTAAAGGCATGTGACCCACTATAAATTGCAAAAATATTATGAGATCCAAATTTCATAATCCAACTTGCTAGCTTATAGTTAACTTACAAAATTCCCCTCGGCTTTCTCGCGTGCCCATCCACCTTGTTGCTTAAAATGTGTGTCCTTGTACAAACGAATAACAGGATCCTCATCCCTTTCACCATCCTCATCTTTTTGGCTCTGCCTTTCTTTGAGTTTGACCTGAAGCATAAAGTAATAGTGACCATTAGACAAATATATGGTTTAGAACATAGAATATAAAATAAAAAAATTATAATTATTGTTTCATATATTACGCACATTAGCATCATAACGTATGACGAAGGACATTGATCCAGAATAATGTGGAACCTCATTCTTGGAACGATTTTCTTTGTTTTTTCCACTTATTTCCTAGGTAGTAGTTCAACAATAATACAAGTTAGGAAACCTAAATAGCTAGTGAATGAAGTTATTATATTAAATAGTAAAAAATAAATAGTTAAGAAATTGAACCTGAAATTTTGGTGACATCTACATATCACACAATTTTTGCCAAACAGCATGACCAATACTATTGTAAGGATGGCAGCGTGCATTCTCAATCGGAAAATGCTCTTCAAAATGACACTTTAATTTATATCTATATTTCCTCAACGCATTGGAAATTCCCTTATTTACTCGCTTAAAATCGGTGTCATTCGCATATGCATCAACTCCGAAGAACTCCTTTATAATGTAAAATTAATGTAAGCTATAATTTGTAACCAATTGGACCAGTAACCTCTGATTTATTTTTAACAAAACAAACATTAAATGATGGTTATCATTACCTTCAAATGGTCATAGCAGACCTTTTTTTCAAAATCTGGAACATCCCTCCACGTTTTATACTTTAAAAGGGCTTCGGTATCTCGTGTATTAATGCCAACCTTAGCTGTCCATAATTTGTTATTTAAACCAACAGGTTTAATATAACCCTTTCCAAACTCTACTGGAACTGGACAGTTGTTTTCTTTAATTTTGTGCAAGGCTTCATTTTTTGCTCTTCCACGCCCTTTTCATATTAAACCTGAAAAACAAGTTTATTATCTTAATTAAAACGTAGGCATTTTACAAAAGAGCTTATGGTTAATCAATGATGAAGCATAATTACCTCCACTTGGCTGTGGCCCCATCTGCTCATTACTACCATCACTTTCCATTCTTTCATTTGTTGAATTCCTATCATCACCTGATCCACTCAGTTGTATAGGAGGTGAACTTGTAGACGGTCGCTCAGTTTCAGCCCTACGGGACCTTAAAACTCAACACATTGGTTCCTCGGAAGTGTCCATAATTTAGTTTACAAGCTGATATGAAGAATCAAGTGAAATTAAAACAAAATAAACAAGCATATGCAGAATATATTCTGAGTCATCATTTCATATTTACATAATTCCATTGAATAAAAAATTCAATAATTAGAGGCTAATAAACCTGAAGGAAGTCAATAAATAAAGACTGGTAATATAACTGAATAAATCACTGTAACGACCCGAATTTCTCAACCTGGTGCGTTAGTGATGAACCGGAAGTTGACCCAATAACGGACCCGAAATGCGGAAGCGAAAGAAGCCAAATGACCTCAAGAGAAGTACGTTATCCCTAAGGCCCCAAAATGACTCTCCATGAAGCCACGGAATTCAAATGAGCCAAGCAAATGAAGCAAGAATGCCTAACCCGAAAAGAGATGAACTAAGGGCAAAATGGTCATTTCTCACTGAAAAGGGTGCCACCGTGCACACCATTGGAAGGACAACGAAAAATGAATAAAATTAGACTTAAGAATCGTCTAATTCTGAGTCCGGGCAGAAAAGATATGAAATTCTAACACCCGATGCGAAACTTATGAAGTAATGACTTAACATTTTCTAATATTTTCATAATAAACTTTGAAAACAAAAGTGCATAGAAAACGAGATACATGTCATTGGCCTCCGGCCTCATCTCATACATGTTAAATACATTGAAAAGAGTGCACTTATGTACACTTTACATATCCGAATCAACGAATACAAGTTTAAACAAATAGGGTTACAAAGAGGCATCTTATGCTACCACTTGCATAAAATAGAAACTTAGAAACTGTAAGCCACCCAAGGAGCAATGGAATCTTCAAATCCTGAGTCCTGTACCTGAAATATGCCTCAGTATCATAGGGGTGAGTAATATAAAGCTACTCGTATGAGATGAGCATGCATCGACCTAGCATTTTACAATTTTATCACCTTATAGTGAAACATGTTAAAGGGGCTCATGCCACCTAACGTCTATGTCAAGATGAGACCCAGGGAGCATCCTAAGCTACCTAAATCATTTATATCATAATCACATTGTTCATGCAATTCAAACAATATGGAAACATGTTATACAAGGTAACAAGATATAGATTCTCAAAGTCTTCAACTTGAAATTCAAAATACGAAAACAACAAGTGTGGGTCATGCCACCTAACGTCTATGTTCAAAATGAATCTATAAGGTCATTCATAAACTACATTTGAACATCAAAACACAAATTATGATATCGATGCAATTTAACCAACAATGGAACTTCCAATACAACGCATGAAGCATGCTTTCATAAAGCTATATCTTAAGCTCAAAATAAGAAATCAAATACGGAACAAGTTACGATATCATCTAGTTATCAACTTGAAATGAAATACAAAATCAAACAAAGTAGATACTCGGACGTCACGCCAGATCAGACCGACAACATAGTTACTTTAGGGTTACTAACCCATGGGTAACCTCCCTATGTGCGCACTAGACTATATAGAGGGACAATCCCCCGTACTAGAACCAAGTCCTAGCCGTAACCAAACAACGATATCCCCAAGTTTTCAAAATCAACAAATTGTGCAACAACGTATATATATCAACATGTATATACAAGATATCAACTATTTACCAAGCACAATCCAAATTTTGGAAACTTATACAATGCATGCTCAAAATTCACAACTACTATGGCATGTAAGATATCAAATACAAAGTGTGCAATTCCTTACACATAGCAACAATATATTTAATAAGGAAAAATATATTCTCATGAATATAAAAGTAACAACTATTTTATCCAATGCTCAAAAGTAATCAAGTGAACATACATCATATCCAAATCCATGATTTAAATATAGAAACAATTTCCAAAATGCAATTAAATCTATGGAGTAATAAAGTAGAATTTAATTAAACATAAATAGTTAAATTCTCTAAATTCCAAGTTAATCCGAATAACCTCAATTTAATATATATTGAAAGACATATCATGGTCATCATATATATAATATCAAATGACAAGTTAAGTGATTAAAACACTTAAAACAAAATTAATCAAGCTAATTAATTAATTTCCTCTAGATTTTTAAACAATTCCAAATGCCCTCAATTTAATCTATGTTAGAGAACATGCCAAGGCCTATTTAAATACCAGATTACAACTTGATTTAATGCTTGATACAACCATGTGAATTAAACTTTTACAAAAGATAAATATTAAATAAAAATTGTAATTCTTAATCAAATGATCCAAATTTAATATATGTTAACCAACATATCTAAGCATAATTTTCTAGTATATTACAATTCAAATCAAAGTTATACATCATCCTAAATTTTAAATCTTATACAAAGAAATAAAAATTACTAACTTTCTAAATTTGATACAAGGCATACCTATATGTTGTATAATCATGGCAAACACACAATACAACACACAAATAATCCTAAAACATTCCCTACCTCAATTGGAATGAAAATCCCAATTACCGCCGAAATGAAATCGCCCTAAATTTTCGGTCCGCAAAACAGATTTTTCAGCTTGCTACCTTCAACTTGTAAAATTCATAAAAAATTTAATTCTAACCCAAATTAAATGAATCCAAAGCCCAATGAAAGCTTAAACACTTTAATTTGATAATATCAATTTATTTTAACAAAATATTTTCCTAATTGAAACAGTTTTGACCCATAATTTTGAAACAAATTCTGCCCAGAAAACACATTTTCAGCCTGTAACTTCCAACTTTGAAAATTCATGAAAAATTCATTTGACATCCAAATTGGGCAAACCTAATTTATTTTGGAAGTAAACGTATGAGAGTGTAAAATTAAAAATTTAAGCCCTGATCCAATGTCAAAAAATTAGTGAAATAAATCATCTAAAAATATGTTTTCCAGCTGCAATAAAAACATGGACAGCAGATAGTTTCAAATTTTTTAAAAAAATTTAGAAATGCCTTAAAATTGTGAAAAAATTCTGAGTAGTGTAAAACCCATGGGGGAAGTTCCAGTAAAAATTTCAAGGCAATTGAAGTACCACAGCTTCATATAAAAATTCATTTCCAGACCGAAAAGAAAAAGCTTCAAATTTCCAACAACTAGCTTGCAACTTCAAAAATTCATAACTAATTCATTTTAAATCCAAATTATATGAAACCAAAACTAAATGAAAGGTAATTGAGTATATTTTCATATTCTATATTTAATTTGACAAGATTAATTTCAAGTTAAAACAATTTAAGGGTAAAATACAAGTCCTTCTCTTCCATGCATGTAAAACACTCAATAATGACATAAAAATACTTCAAAATAATAGATCAATACCTCACTAGAGAATTGAATCTCTAGATACCAAAGCAAAACTAGGAGTTAGGCTAGATCCTTCAAGGGTTTTGAAGAGGAGGATGAGGAGAACAAAAAGTATTCTAAACTTTATGGTCTAAAGTAAGTGGAAGGCCTCAAAGATCAAGGTCAATGCCTAAGGCTCCAAGCTCCATCCATGGAGGCTAGGGTTTTCTTGTAAGGAAGAGAATGAAATAATGTGATTAAATGTGAGTGGAGGAAATAGAAATCCTCCACTCACTATGTGCTCTTACACCATGGTCAACACACACATCTATGGTCAATTGCACAAAAACCCTCCTTTAAAACCATAATCCCAAAGTGGTCCAAAGATATTTGCAAAACTAAATTGTGAACCTACACTTGTCACCAATCCATGGCTCCTTCCTAGGCTTAATCCTACACCTACACTTGTCAACCATCCAAGCCACCAAGTGCACCAATCCTAGGCCAACAAGTGGGTGAATCCTCACCCTCCAAATGTCATTATCCAATGCATTAAAGTGTTTCTACACAAATGTCAACAAGTGGACCAATGAGAGTGGGACACTTGTCACACTTTTCAAAAATTACAAAAAGGTCCTTTTTGAAAATATCTTCCAAATTTAATTACAAAATGATCCCCAAGATGAAAAATAATTACTTTATTTAATTACACTAAAACCCTACAAGTTAATAATAATTACACTAAAGTATGCATTAATGCCCCTTTATGAAAGAAGTAAGCAATCAACATGCTTTTCTAGAAAAGTAAAAATACCATTATCATGGAAATCAAATATCATGAATGCATGCAAAACCGGAATCAAATCCGAGCACAAAAAGTGAGGTTGTGCAAAAAAAAAAGGATAAACGAGAAAAAAACAAAATGTGAATAGTGTTCGGAAAAATAAAATATGGAAATGACACAATCCCTAAAGGAAGTTGTCAATCCAAGGAAAAGAGTCTCAAAAATCATTCCAGATCACTCGAGATTACATCAAGTGATGAAAAACCGAACCCAAAAAGGAAAAGACAACGGAAAAAAAATATCAGTTAAAATCTGAGAAAAAGAAAAGGAAGAAAAATAACTGGGTCATTACAATCACATTAAATAATAATAATAAACCCAGAAAAAAAAAGTAAATGCTCAAATATAACAATTAATTTGGTCAACCAATACTTAAAAGAGAAATTTAAACAAAAAGTAACTCAAAAGATAAAGCTCGGTAATATAATTCAGCTGATTACTTTAAGTATTAATCATAAAACCATAAAATGAGGTACATGCTCAAGAATACAAAGCTTCACATGTTATCCAAATCAATATCATCTTCAGACATTAATTCTGGTTCCTCATCTGAACTATATTGAATGTCATTTCCATCATCATTCTCAACATCCCAAAAGAAGTCATTAATGGTTGCTTCACCCCTACATTTTTGAATCATATATATCATTTATAAACAAAAAACTAAATATATATAATTGAACCCTACAATATATATATATATATATAATTTTTCCCTAATAATTGTCAACAATTGAGATTCACAAGCACCGACAACCTTTAACCATACAGAAATTCTACCAACATAATTACAAGAAAAATACATTTCTTATTTTTTTCTTTTTTAAAAAATGATCAGTAACTTACTATATAATGTCACCTTCATTAATGAAAGATGGAAAAGTAAAGGGGTTCACACTTCACACATAATAGTACATATAATATATGAACGCTAGCTAATTAAATTTGAATTTCACAGAATTATAATTTCAAACTAAAATCTATTAAACTTGAATTGGAGCCAGAGAGAAGATTACCAAACAGACTAAAAGGGAAATTCTACTATAAAACTAAAACAATAATTAGTCCAGCTATCTTATATAGAAAAGTACAGGTTGTTATAAAAAAATAAATAAATAAATAAATAATAAAAAATAAAAAAATAAAAAAAATTTGATGATGAAGTAAGTTGGACCCATTAAATTCGAATTTCACATAATTATAATTCCAAATTAAAATCTATTTTGTGCAACCAAAAACCCCTTAATAGACTTCAAAGGCCAAAAGTATTTCACCAGTTCTTGTAAGTGTTATAAATCTGTCCAAATCAGTTTATATTCTATCAATTGTCCATGAAACAATAGAACCAGAAAAATAGCAACTATTACAGTGTAGACTTCTCAAGAAAGTTGAAACCAAATCTAGTGACAGAAGCATTCACTACAAACAACACAATATATATATTGTTTATGATTTCTACCCACTAAAAAACAACTGTTTCACCCATAAAATGGAAAATCTGAAAAAGAAAAAGAGAAAGAAAAAAAATACAGGTCCTGAACAATTTGGTTCCTTGTGCATGAAATTTGCAAAATATATATATATATATATATATATATATATATATATATATATATATTTATAACATTATCTTTCCTTGCACTGTTTAGTATTCTGAAAGCTACCATCATTTTAGCTCATTACTCATGGAATTTAAAAGTTCATGTCTTAAGCTGGGCCCGTCAATGGACACAGGTCGGCCTAAAGCTTGGTTGGATCAACAACTATGTTTAGATCAACAACAATAATTAGACACACTTTATTATTCTAAACTCATTAACAGTCAGTGAACACATTAATGATCTATCAATTCAAATTTCTCTCTACTACTGAAATTAACATTTCAAAGATGCTAACAATCCTATCACTAGATTTAGAAAAAGGCCTATATAGCTGCAAAATTTCATCTACTACTACAAAATCAGGCTTCCAACACCAGCAAAAAAAAAAAAAAAAAGGTAAGACAGAGAATAAAGTATTTAAAGTAAGTGTTGCAGATATCCATGCCTGCTTGGCATTAATTTTGAGTGGCCAAGAGCAGCAAAAAGTTAAAGGTTTAGCTTATATATGGGTGTCGACATCTCCAGTCAAGAACATCAAACCAACCCACAACAGTTGAAAACTGATTTTGAAGTCTAGGATGCTATTCAGATTTCATATGTTATATATATATATAATAAACATACGTTAAAACAAAAAATAAACGTCTAGAATTATTCTACAAAATATCCTAAGCATTATCCTACAAAATATGACATTTACACATATCTCAAATTTCTCAGCTTCATATTCTATTGCTATCTTTCCAATCAATTACTGGTTCTTTCAATATTTATTATTAAAGTTACTCTTCGATCCTAAATCTAAGAAACAAAGCAAAGTACTAGTAAAATGAAAACAAGAACACTATATAAATATCTAGTACACAATTTCATTTCACTTTACATTCCATGGTGTTAATAGGGAGAGGTAGATAGTGTGAAAGATTAATGCAATCCCATTGTATCTGAGGAGTCAATTTTACATGTGTACACCAACTAATTAATTCATCAATGTCAAAAGAAGAACAAACATATTTATAAATACATAACTCAAAGTTTAATTTGATATATAAGATTACAAATTTAACTGAATCAGTGCATTTCATGTCTCAAAAAGCTTACTTATTACATACACTAAAAAATGAACATTGGGCTTCGCTATCCAGAAGACATACAAACTCTTATCAACTGGTTTAATTTGATTGCATTGCTCTTTAAGCGACAAAATATTTAGTCGTTGCTAAAATCAAAAGAGATTTTTGTGTTTCTTAAATTCCAATCAGATGGAAATAGTGGTTTTTATCATCATTTGTAACCTGATTTATCATGGAAAAGAATTTAATATTTATGCTTTTAGTTGGTATGCTACATTAAAATTATATATACATTTGAAAATCAGGAGATAGAGCTACTATATCCATATGATCAATGAAATACCTCTATACATAGTATTTAAGCCCGAGTCTTAGAAAATGGCTTAGGAAGAAACGCATACTGCCATGGCTTTCAATTCATCACCTCCTTCAAAAACTTTCCCAAAACAATCCCAAGCCCCATGTTGTACATCTACCACATCCAATCTCAGTTTCAAAATTTTCACCCCCTTACAAACCTGGGGAACACCAGGGACTGACCTATAAAATTATGTGAGGGTGTAACTATTTACCATGAATTTAAACTCGAAATTATTTTACTACCCCGAACAATCCAAGCTAGAAAACCAATCAAGCAAACAAGCAAGCATATACCAAATTATACAAGAAAGTTAATAACCCAGTAGGGCCAGTGCATCCTCCAGCTAAAGAAGAAGAAAATTAAACAAATAAAAGGCTTTAAGAAAACATTGCACATGGAGCTTTATACATCCACTGAAAATTTTCAGAACCAATCATAACTTCCGACCAAGTATAGAGAGATTCATATTAGAAAAAAAAAAATGAAATGTTAAAATGTCATGTTTGCAAACTTGAATTCGTACATTTACAACCATTAGCCATAAGCAACAAAGAATCGCTTCTATAAATGTGACTTTTTTCCTAAATTGAACACAGTACAACAAACAAAATAGAAATAGAACCCAGAATTCAAATTTTGTCAAAGTGATTTCACAGTGTAACAAGCACATAACGAGATTTTTAACAAGCACATAACAAGTCAAACTCGTTATATCTCAAACCTGTATTTCCCACAGCGATTCAGACTCAGACTACAAGCCGACTCCAGATTTGTAATTTACCCCTTCGATTGTTAGGCCTTTTGCAATTTCAAAATCCTGCAACATGTATTTGCATAAAATAAAAAACTATGATGAGGATCATTAAACCGAAGTGGGTTATATGAATGTCAAATTGAAGATGAGGGTTCTCTGAAAATCGAAGAAAGAGGCATAATCCCTAACATTGTAAAAAAATAAAAATGTTGTACCTCATGATTAAGAGTGGTTGTTGGATCGATTGGGTCATTCGGCCTTTGCTGCTGGAAGAAGGTGAAAGAGTCTCTGTCTTCCGCGACGGTGGAAAAAGGGTGGAAGAGTTAGCCTCTATTTTCTGCGAGGGTGGAAGAGGCGTGAGGGCTTGAGACGGGTTGAGAACTAAAGTGGCCTGAAGATCGACTTTAGGTATGATATTATATATATATATTTTTTGATAAGTAGGTATGATATTATAATTTTGGATGTAATAATATATTAAACGACGTAGTTTGACGTATTTTGTAAAATAAAATAATTAAATATATTATAATTTTGATTGCGCCAAACAAGGAATGAAGCGCCAAGTTTTGCCGCACAATTTTTTGTGGAATTGGGGCGGGTTTTTTAAAGTTTTTGGGACAGGTGTAAAGACCGTGCCAAAAAAGAAGGCTTTAAGGACAGTT